GGCGAAAATGAGGTTTTCATTTTTCATTTTTGAGGTACTAAACAGTAAAATAAAAGGCTAAGATTTTTTTTGGGCATAGTTGAGGATATTTTCTAGGGCTATTAACGGATGGAAACACGATTTGATGAAGTTGACTCGATAGAATAAATTCCCAAAGTTACCTCTATTCGTTTTCTAATTATGGTTTNAAGGAAGTCAACCTAACCTAACCAACTGCGTATTTCTATACTGTGTAGCTGGAAATTGTGGCGGGAGCTCTTTGACGCGCTGTTTTCGGCAAAGAATTGCGCGCGCAGATTTTGACAGCGCGAAATACCTACTTTAGAAGAAATACCAAGCCTTAAGGACGACCATCTGAAAGTTGGTAAACTTTCAGTAGACATTTTTTTATGTTTATTAGGTTTGCATGTCCAACAAAGTAACGAGACCAGAGAAAATCCAGAAAGACTTTCCAGTTAGGTAATAGGTAAAAAAAAAAATATATATTATAACTAACTTCCAAGATATATGCATACCTGGAATTGACAGCCCTCAAGTCAGCTCCCAGTTTGCGCGTACGCAGTGACCCCAAAGGCATTATCTAATTGATAATGAATTATTGTAATTGTTAATACCGCCGTGTTTTCACGTATTGCCGGACCTTGGGCCCTTTGCTCAGGAGAACGGTTTTCAATTCAAGAGAGAGGCGATGCTACCGGGCTGCGGTCTTGACCCAAATAACTGTGGGAATCTGTTGTTTCAATAACAATTACTAATTCATAAAAATAATAAAACGTTTCTTCCAAATCGTCAAAAAGCAGAGATTGTTTTCAAACAGTTACCTGTGTTTTCGACGAGCCGGAAGACGTAGCGTGGGCAGGCCTCCCACTAGGTGGACCGACGATCGGATGAAGGTCTCGGGAGGTGCCTGGATGCGAGCGGCGCAGGACCGGTCTTTGTGGAAATCCTTGGGGGAGGCCTTTGTCCAGCAGTAGACGTCTTTCGGCTGAAACGAACGAACGAACCTGTGTTTTCGCAAAAATAAGGACATGTTTCACAACCCATTAGCTCTATCAATCATTATTATCATAAGCTTCTAGAATACGATTGGTGGACATAGACCTCAAAAACTACTCTGGGCTTTATTAGGGTTGCAGGAAGTTGCTGTATGGAATTGTAATCGATTTTTAAATATTTTCTTGTCTAAAAGCTGTTAACCTATAGCTTACAGCATTTTCCCAAAAACATTGATGCGATTTTGTTTCTTCGATTAAAATGTCTGACTAATGACTACATGTGCTCAGCATAAGAATCAAAACGGATGATACTTTAAATAGAACCCTATAGGTATACAAATTATTCAACACTTAGTTTTAATTATGCCTTAGGTGCCTATACACAGAACTCACATGCACGTAAATGATTCACGATTTTTGCTAATGACTAAACTATGCACATTTTTGTGTTCCAAGCTGATTCACTGTACTGTTCATTCATTTTGTGGCGTCTAAGTATGACAAGTAAATACATCACATCGATGTTTGAATTTAAACTAGCTGGGCAACTATGTACGCGTGAAAAATCATGCCAATCAATCGTCCAGTTCCATATAAGGCCTCTCATTTATATGGAGCAGCCTGAAGTAGACGATAAGTCAATAAGCCATACCTAAGTTTCTATTTACATATAGCCTAATAAAACCCATGTAGCTCAGTTTTCAAATGAAGGCATACGCTATCAAAACTGTAGGAGTAAACAGAAGTCCGCTAAGTGTTTTCGAGTGAGAAAATTAATGTGCTTGTAGGCGTTGTAACTAAGTAAAGAAACATTTACATCCTAGAGCTTATTTACATAAACAATAAACATTGTACTTTATTAAATTATTACTCACCTATTATGTCATTTGTCACAAACGTGTGTTAACCTCGCTGCGTTGACCTAAGTTTAGACCACGACTTCTACTAAACTCGTCTATATCATTGTCTTAAAATCAGTAGGGTAATTGCGCCGGTTTTCCGTCCAGCTCCTGTTTTCGTCCATTTGACCGACTTGCCACAAACAAATACGGAAAATTAGAATACAAACCTAACTTTCCGTGCAAGTTTGGACTTGTTACAATCTATAATATCTAAGTAACAGTTCTGCCTGCATGAAAATGTAATTTGACAAGTAATAACTCCAAAAAAATCTACGGAAGTTGCTGCTGCACACAGGTGAATGGAAAACGTCGTCTAGTTAGAAAAAAAACGTGCCGGTAGGGAACTTTCATGGTATGTTTAATTACTGTTTTAGCTACTTTACGTAATGTTTTTGGCACGTATGTCTAATTATTAGCATAATAAACACTATTCCAAGGGTTTATTAAAGTTTTTGTATAGAAATCTTAGATAATTAAGTGGACTAATACCAGCATAACAATTTTGCAAGATTTTGGTTTTCGTCCACGTGGACGCAAACCCTGACACCTAGTTAATATTTTTAATAATCATTTTACTTCAATGGACCTACAAAATACAATGTTTTTTCTTCCAATATGATCTTTATTGCTATTACATTAAACATTTTAGTTTACGTCCACTTTTTAAGAGTGATAAACCCATAAAAACCGTTAAAAAGATGTGGACGAAAACAAAAAACAGCTTTAAACGTTGTTATGTTTTCGTCCATGACGTCATGAGCAAGCACTGGGGTGGACGAAAACCAAAATTAGCTTTTCCTGTAGATTAGTTTTCGTCCATTTGTCCTTCGACCTATTGAAATATTTTCCTAAATTTAGGTAAGAAACTTATTTCAATCTTTTTGATATCATTTGAAAGCTAACAAAATTACCTTTCAAATGATATACCACAATCCATAGTTATTGTATTGTAGAATTGGTTTTAAGTTAATAATTCAACTGCACCCCTTTTTTCTACACAGTGGTCGAAAACTAGCGTACACTAGGACGAAAACTGATTTTTTTGGACGAAAACTAGTGAAATCGCCTCTTTTGCATAAAATATTTTTAATAAAAAAACCCGTGGTATTTACTTATTGTCATATAATATTAACGTAAAGTAGACTATATAAGGACTAAAATGACATATGATACATATGAGTAAGGGTATTTTAAGATATTCATTTCGCATCACAAAGTTGGCAACTCCGTTAATTGGACGAAAACTAGCGCACTTACCCTACAATAATTCTTAGACTGATAGCAAGCTGGATAGACACGTTCTACATGCTCCTGACACAAGCTGAACTGGTTAGCGGGAATATCAGAATTTGTGCCTAAACTACATAATATAAATTTCCTCTTAAAAAAGTTGGCACTTTGAATATGGTTAAAGCAATAAAAGTGCTCTTCAAACGCCAATTTTACAGAAAAAATATATTTTATTTTATTCACATGATGACTTGACTAAAATGCAGGTGTTCACATGTCAATAAAATTGTAACATTTCGAATCCCAAAATCTTCCGTGGGGTGCGAATTATCGTCCATTGGAACTGATTTGGCAAAAAAAGTTAAAAACCCACGACCATTCGACCACTCATTAACCTACATACCTAAAACTTGATAGCTAAATTCTAAATTCCATACGCACATCAACACATATCTGTTGTCTGTCTTGTTTCTGTTAAATAAATAAATCATTATAGAATGATCAATTAATACCATGCATAAAATAAATCAAGTCATATTAAGCCTAGGCGCAGACCACCGATTTTTAGTCGGCCGATAGTTGGGCTCGATTCTAATTTGTATGAAGAATCAGTCGGTGTAATGTGCGCACTTCCATACATGCCCATACTGATTAACTGCCCGACTAAACTATCGGCCGACGAACAATCGATGGTCTACGTCAGCGGTTCCCGAATGGTGGTCCGCGAAACCCTGGGGTTCCGTGGAAAGGCCGCAAGGGTTCCGTAAAAAATATTATCCCACGTTTCGTGACCGACGTTGTTCGCTCGCACCGACTTGTTTACGCACAAGGGAGGGGCAGGGCGTGCGGGCGGAGTAGTACGGGGGTTCCGCTAGGAAAAGTATAATCAATTACAGTTCCTTGGCAAAAAAAAATTGGGAAACCCTGGTCTACGTCTTTTTTTTTTTTTTTTCTTTTTCGTCGGGAAATGCTTTGCGCATACCCACTGGTCTATGGGGACGGCCAGTGGGTTATGTGGGACTCTCCCCACCTACCCACTAAAGGCGGGGCCTACCCACTAAAACCCGACGGTTTCCACCAGAGCCCAAAGAAACGGAGCCGCGAGTTATTGTCCTGGTTGGACATTCGTCCGCAGCTCAGCCTCAGGCTAGAGGCTCGCTTACGAGCAAGCCTCTCTGGCTTCGAGGGAACCCCCAGTCCCCTCCTCCAGTTGTTTTTTATAGAGGTTTTCTCCTCGCGGCCCTGGTATAACAGGACCCCCGGCCCGCCGTAGCGGGTTACGGTCTGCTCTATGCCGCTGCTCGGTCAGCTCTGCTGATCAGAGAAGTACCGAGAGCGGCCCTCCAAAGAATGGGCCCGGGCAAACGCCCCGCCAGCCCCCACCTGTGGGGGTTTTTAAAGATGTCCCCTGCATCGTGGCCCGGGCAAATGCCTCGACGGCCCCCGGCCCACTCAATTGTGGGTTACGGGTTGCCCGACAGGCCCGCCGAGTTGACGAGACCTGCCGCGCAGGTGAGAAGTTAGCCGCCCGCGTGAACAGACCACGCGGACGTTGCCCAGGGTGCACCACGAGGAGGTCGCTCACCATCGCACCCCACCCTGGTCTACGTCTAGGCTAAGTTTTTCCAACCCGTCTCTCCAGCGTGGGGAGTAGTCCTCCCTTTTGCCTTTGGTAAGTTAGAGAGGGTCCTCCTACAGTGGAGAACTGGAGACTAAAAGACCAGATAATTTGATGAAAATTAAGTGACCTGGATGCGAGCGGCGCAGGACCGGTCTTTGTGGAAATCCTTGTGGGAGGCCTTTGTCCAGCAGTGGACGTCTTTCGGCTGAAACGAACGAACGAAGTGACCTAATGATGATGATGATGTTTCAGAGCGTCCACGACGAGAGGCTGAACGCGCGAGTGGACGCCATGCTGCAGGAGGGCCTCATCCAGGAGCTGCTGGACTTCCACGACAGGCACAACAAGCAGAGGATCAAGGATGGAAGGTAAGGAACCACTTCTTCAAAAACGAATCCAGTAATATACAGATTACCTACATATACACACAATTGCGTTCGAATCGGTTGGATATTTAATCTGGTTTTGAGTGCAGTTTAGATTCAAACAAAATTAAATTAAATTAGCTGGTCTAAGTTGCCTAAAAATACATTAACTGTTATATCTTTAGAACTGTACCGAATTGAATTCTCGGATTTTACACTGTATTGAAACTCAGGCTAGATGGCCCATAGTGGACTAAAGTGATGCGGTGATGATGACATCTAGATAACAATTAACCGATACCTAATTTTGCGTAACCGTTATCACTGGGGAAGTAGCTATATCTGGATGCGAAAAACCTTACCTATACATGAAATCAATTACGGTTCAATTACTAACTACACAACGTAAAGATATTATTTCAAGCCTCGCCGTTGTCGAATAAAATATTATCGTTAAAGGGAAACAAACAATTTACTGACATTGAATCGATTAATAAGACAATCGTCGCCGACCAGACGGTGGTCTCTGGTGCCATTCGATACACAAGTTATCCGTGAAATTACACTGTTTGTTCTCGATTATCGATCCATCGACAATAGTTGAAACGATTGAATCACTAGCCTGGGAGTCCAGTCACGGTGCTAAGCATTTGGACTCGGGGATCGGGGATTCTTGCTCACGGACCAGGCTTTAGCTACCACCATCTTACCTAAGTCTGTCATAACAACAATGTTAACAGTATTGTTGTGTTTCACCAGATAGAAGTAAAATAGCCTCCTCCTTCTAGTTCCTCTGTGGTTGAGGATTGAAGGCGAAGCTCGCTTCCACCTTCTGCCTGATCATCACTTTCCATCAAGTGAGAAGCAACCCAAGAGTTTCCCCTTATTGTTGGTAAAAAACGAGAAATCATTTTTATTCCAAAAAAAACAATATACGAAGTCATCCATAATATCGTCTAAAGGGGTAACAAGACAAAAGTAACAAGGCCAAGAAGCTGATCAAAGCCACAGATAAAGGTATCAAAAAGTCGCTAATGGTAGAGTTGTCAAATTGATGGGAAGTTTCAGAAGTTGGCCATTAAACATCCATTTAATCCACGAATTAACAAAATGTGCCTTTGTTTGAGCTGGTGACGCTTTAGACAAGTATCTAATTCGATAAATACTGTACTTAAAATCTGCTTAGGAACCCATTATTACTGATGCCATTGAGATTTCAAATTACGCAAAGGGTATATTACTCAATAAATGGACGAGGCAAAGATGGAAACTATATTTAGCACGTTATTTTGAATCTATGCTGCCATTATTTTTGTAGTGATACCAGCTAGCTGCATCCTTACGCAACCCTCTTCCTCGCACAAAAAACAATAACAAAACCCTAAAAACTGAAAAAAGCGGACAAAAAATAAAAGAAAGCACAAGATGGCGGCCGGGCGTTGCCCGCTGTCATCTGGTGTCTGTCGCCGCGGCGTGTCGGGTTACGTGCGTGCGCGCGTATACACCTCCGCGATTGTCTTTGGTACTTAGTTAATTAATTTTGCTATTTAGTATAATTAAGAGAGACTAATTTTGTATAACGAATCGAAGGACTTTTTGTTATAAGCATTTAGAAACCCAAAGCTAAGGTTTTCCGGCTCCGCGATAAAAATAGCTACATGCCAAAACACACGGTATAAAAATTAAAATACCATGATCCTATTTTATCAATTTATTAATCATAGCACTTCATCAAAGCTGTATATTTTTGTTAATAAAAAGGCATTTAATAGATAGCTGAACTTGATAATACAAAATCATCTAAAAAAAACCTTTTTCTAAGAGAAATATATCGTCAGTCATCACAATTTCTTCAAGCCAGGGCCACTCTATATGAGTAATGACTAATGAATTAGTAATGATAGCTTTTGTCTTATTAAAATTATATTTCTTTAAATTACATAAATCCATTGATTTTGGCTTTGCCCATTTTCAATAATAATTACCACCTTTTTTCATGTAAATAATTTAATTAATTAATAAATTGTGAACTCCCATCCTAGCACCAAGACCGGTGGCGCCGCGCACTCAACCCGGTAGCGAGACCACAAATAAAATAAGACTATACTCTAGTGTCACTACGCATGTGATAGCGTTATCTTCTAGAAGAGACATAGAACATTAGAAGACTGATTTAATTTAAAACAGCTGTTTGAGCCAATATCATTATGGTTAAAAACTACTTAATTGAGACTGTCCCTGTGTAGGTATTACTTTTTTCTTATTTTGTGTGTGGTGTACAATTGTGTTTGCTTATTCAGGTAGGTACGTATAGAAAATACCTTGAAACCCTGAAATTAAAAAAGGCTCTCTTCAACTAGACTTTATAACGAAATTAATTACAAAAGCAATTAACTACGAATAGTTGAGAGGAATGTGCATCGCTCCTAAAATAACATTTGCTGTAATAAAATGCTTTTGCAATAGTCTTCTTTTTTTTCGCAGACTCATTCTGCTTATTTTTGTACAATGTTTTATAGACAATATTATTTTAGAAATAAATGAGCTTTTTTCGCCGAGGTATGATTATACTAAATTTTTAATGTATTTTCTAAATTTCAATATTATACAGGGTGTTTCTTGTAAGGTGTCAAGCCGAAGGCAGGTGATAGGTGAGGACTAGACCTATCGATTTCACCCCCATGTATGTTCTACGATTTTTCATAGTTTAGAAGTTATCGTTAATTTTGTAATTTTTCAAATTGTATGACCCACTAGGCTTTAAATTTTTTATCTTTTTTTTGGGTCGACTTTTCTCAGATTTCTTTTTTTTGACAGATTCCCTATTAATTGCAGATTTTTGAAAAAAATAATCAACTTCCTATCTTTGATGAAAGATACAAAATTTTTGCTAGAAACATAAAAAATATGCTATTAGCGGAACATTCTAAAATTTTCAACTTAAAAGTTTGAAAAAAAGAAGAACTTCCATAGGCAAGAGCTTCCTCGTAGTGGATAAAAAAAAATTCTGTTCAGTTATTGTCTCTAAATGTGTTCTACATAACGTAAACTTAAGGGATTGCAAACATTACTTAGTCCTAAGAAAGTCAAAAACATGTAACGGAATCTCCGACTTACCACTTTAGTGGAGCGATTACAGAAAATAATGGCCTATTAAGTACATGTTTTTTTGTGTTATTATGAAAGTTCAGAAAACTGCGCAGTTTTTAAAATTATTTTGGACCTATGGAAGTTTTTTTTGTGTATTTTATGTATTTTTTTAGTATTGCCTGTTATTTAGCATTATTACTGTTTTTATTTTATCAGGATATACCGCTTAGTTTAAAAGTTATTACGTTTTCTTTACAATAAGTAATTCGAAGAAAAAAAAATCTATAAAAAATTAAAAAAAAATCTCAAAAATTTTTTGACCTCTTTTTTGTCGATAAAAATAGGTCTAGTTTCATCTATTTTCATATGTACACTTTAACGTGACTCACACTGTATTTAGCCTGAATTACGAGTAGTTCATTGAACCTTATGAACCGAAGACGAAAGTTGTTCATGCTAGAGGTACTTTCAACATGAACTATGAACAACTTTCGTCTTCGAATCGTTTGCGTATTCGACAAAACTCGATACTCAACCTTCGAATTAAACGATAACGTGACAATTTTGATTATCAAAATAAGTTTCGTGCAACCATTTCTCATACTAACTTCACTTTACGACACGTTCACAGGGGCACTGTTTTAGGTTTCGAACTGTACCTCTAGTAGGAAATCTATATTATAGCCGCCCTAGGGGGCGCTGTTTAATTTTTCATACAAAATTTTTCGATGACACTTTGAATACGCAACGAAACGAACTCGAAAGTTTTTCCTACTAGAGGTACAGAATCTTTTGATGGCGATTCGAGTACGCAAACGATTCGAACTCGAAAGTTTTTCGTGCTAGCCGTACTGGTGCTAGATAGGCCTACCCCAGGAGACCCATCCATCCTAGTTCTCACTAGCGCGTCGCGTTCGCACAGTAGTTGCTTCATGGTAAAATTACTTGTATTATTTTCCACACCATGTCTCATCCAGTGCCTCTACGAGTAGTTGCAGGCTTTCGTCTCATTGGGGCGCGCTTTGTTCCCGCGCGCACTTCATTAAACCAACATTACGCTCCGTGGAGCCACTTGCCTACTTTTAGGGATCCCTAGTCCCACACACAAATATTTAATTTTATTGCCATTACATGTAAGATTAAACAAAAATTAGGATTGACTATTCTGGAAAAAAATGTTCTAAATGAGTTCAAATCAAATAAAATTTTATTCAATTTTAAACAATATTTTGGTACCTTGTGATCTTTGGTATTAAAAGACGGCATGTAGAGATAAGCATTGAAAACACTATGATTGTGACTTTTGGAGTGTGTGAACATGATGCGCAATTAGAAATCAACTAAGTAGGTGCAATCGCTATCTTTTCTGATGTAGCTGTACTACCTGTGGTACTACTTACAATATACATAGTAGTACTACTGTTACCTACCTTTGTCAGTCTTTTGTATACTCGTATTCAGGATCAGGGAATAATCTTACGTGAATTAATTAAGTATTATAATGCTACAGTCAAAACCACTTTTAACTGATTGTGAGTTTTGACTGTAACAGTTATAGGTATTAACATTACATTGTCTCAATGTAATAAAAATGTACGAGACAATGTAATAAAAATGTACAGAACTCCGAATACCTGTTGGCACAGTCTTATATTTTTTATATAGTTACTTAGTAGGTAGTTAGTGCCGCAGTGATGACAGGTTTGCAGCGTCCCTCGAACCGTCCAATTTGGTAATGACATAATTTGTTACAATATTATTTTCTTCTACACCACTTCCATGTACTTGTGTAATAAGCTCTATAAGGAAGTTAGTGGTTTCTTAAAATTGTTATACAATATGTAAGTCAACATTCAAATTATAAACTCATTATTTTATAAATAATGAGTTTATAATTTGAATGTTGACATCACTAGTATCAACTGGACAGCCTTTTTTTATGTAGTCTTTAATGTGATGATGAAAACGATACCTATCTTTCTCTTATTATGTATAAATCATGTGGTCGTAAATTGATAAACAATCTTTAACGTTTTGCGAAAAAATAACAAGAAAATAAATAACGCGAGAATATCCAACGTCAGAAGACCAAATCCACTTCCGAGATCCTCTATAAACATTTACGTGTTTTATTCTCAGAAAAATTCCAGAAACGTAGAGCAAGTCAATATTAATTATTTTATTATTTTCCTCAAAATTGGCCCTAAACAGCCGGTGAAATGAGGAAAATCCTTGTACAATCGGTTGGCAGTTTCATCTGTGTAACGCCCAGTGGCCATTGATGGAAGCGCGGAACTAAATAATTCAATAGTAGAAAGTAGAAGCCTCGCATGCCTGATATTGACAAAATAGAAGTGCTAAGAATATTAACAGTCGTTTATATCACAAAAAGTTTTAAACCTTTTCAAAGTATTGCATAATAACTATTAGTTTCATGAAAAATCCTAAATGTAAACCAGGAAAAAATAACATAATTATAACGAAATAATTAATTGTAGATGGAAACCAAGCAAATGGCTAACCTATGTAGCAAAAAAGTTTAACATTTTTCTATGTGCGTGTAAGGACGTCTTTACTCATAAAATATGGTGCAAGTGTCTAAACCTAACTTTTTGTAATAAGGTAGTCAATGTCATAATTTATTTATTTATCTAAGGATAGTACACAGCACAATATCAATCTGTGATAACAATGTTTTTAGTAGTTTATTAGTTCGTAACATCCAAATTGACCAAAAAGCTGACGACAACACAACCTTATTCAATTGTTGCGCAAATTTTGGCTACTTTGGGTGTCACGAGCTATTTGACGCTCACTGTACTTACATATTTTTTTATTAATCATATTATTTTTAATTTTTCCAGCCCACCAGACTACACGAAGGGCGTCTTCCAAACGCTCGGCTTCAAAGAGTTCCACAACTACCTGATGCTGACAGAAGAAGAACGGAACAGCGAAGAAGGAAATAAACTTCTAGCAGAGAGCATTGAAAATATGAAAATTGGAACCCGGCGGTATGCTCGGAGGCAGAATAAAATGGTCCGTGGGAGGTTCTTAGAGCATCCCACTAGAGAGGTGAGGGGAGGGGGTTTCTCTGAATTACTCTAACTTCATAAATGTTAATTAATTATAGAATACTGCGCAATTAATTTTAATCTTATACATGTATAAAGGTATTAATGGATCGATAAAAAAATTATATCACGAAAACAAACAATCCACGTGAAATATTGCACAATAATGTCTTTCTTGCACAATATTATACACCTACAAAGTAATTTATTTCGGAGTGAGATACCTACTTACCTAGTGTAAAATGTAGATTTTTTCGGTCCGGGGTCATATCCCAAATTTTATTACCTTTTTATTTGGTAACATAGTCGCCAAATGCATAAAAGCTAACTATAAAAACCTGCGTAAAAAGTTCAACTATTGCCATAATTTAATCTATAGCATAGTCGACAAATAAAATAAGCGATATCTATTACTGAGATTGCGTGCTATTACTTTATGGCGCATATAAATTCAAGACTCGTTCCCCTTTTTTCACTAATAAAAATGTACGCTTAACGGCAACTCCATCTTTATTGCAACCTATTAATTCTCATCATGTTCTAGTATTGATTTTAGATTTACTTAATTTCGCATTCTTGAATAACTATTACATTTTTGTCCACATTTAAGAGCGTTTACGCCGTTTGGCGCAAAAACAGTACTTTTTCAACTCGTTACAATCATTAACCAGTAATACTACAAATATGTTATAGGCATAAATAGTTAGGCAATTTCGTCGTCTAAATAGTTAATTGAGAAAATATTGCGATTAGTTTAGTATTTAAGAATTCTATCAAGATAAGTCCACACAGGTTTTGTAAATTTCCATTTTAGCGTCAGTTTACAAGCTGAAATTTTTATAAAAATACTGTGAAAACTATTTAACAAACATTTATATCCTATAGCATAGATCCTTGGGCAAATAGTTATCTGAGAAAATTTTGAGATTTAAGCTTTTTACAATAAGAAATCACAAATTAAAAAAACGTAAAATACCCAAAAATCAAAGTGATTTTTACACCATTATTCTTCTTTAATTCAACATAAAAATAGCTTAATATAATAAAATAACATCTTCTTTAAAATATTTACTTTGAAAAGATATATTAATTCATTGTTATTGTTTTGCTATAAACATTTGGAAACTATTAAAAAACGCCGCGCGCGAATCATTTCCAATGATGCCCCTTGAAACGCCGCGCTTCGCGTAAACGCTCTTAAACAAAAAAAATACACATACAGATCCATAATAGCGCCATCTAGCATCGAGTAGGAAAACTAGAGTTATCACTTTGAATAGTAGCGACATCTAGCGTTTGGTAGTGGTACTATATTTCGATTCAACAGCTGAAAAGCATCGAATAATGCTTTATTATGTCAACAGATGGCGTAACTACTTATTGTTTTTCTCGCAGGTTCCACCGATTTATGAATTGAACACAACAAACTTGTCCCAGTGGGATACAGAAGTTAGATATAAAGCTATACAGATAATTCAGAGCTACATTAACGATTCACCATGCAATTATGAACCACTAAAATCAGAAATAAATGAAGAAAAAAAGAAAATTGATGGCAATTCACGCAACTATTGCTCGGTCTGCGAGAGAATAATTTTGGGAGATAAAACTTATGAAATACATTTGCAATCATACAGGCACATGAAAGTATTGAAAAAGAAGAGAAGATTAGAACAAGCAAATCAAACATTTGTTGAGAAAATGTCTAATACCTAAATTGCTGTAAATTATAATAATAAAATTGTTGTTGTTAGACTATCAGACAGTTCATTTGAATAAAAGAGTGTTTTAAACTAAACAATTAATTTATTTAACATATCCTCTACAAAATTATTTACATTCTAAAATCTTGTCAGTTAATTCCTCTTCCATTGCCTCCTGTTGCACTATTTCCTTATTTTTGTTTTTAGGTGCTCGGTAATCATAGCTTTCTAATTCAGGATGTTTTTTAATAATTTCATTGTAGGCCTCACAAAGCCTACCAAATTCCATGTTAGCAATTTGATAAGGCCTTGTAACAGGATCAATGTCAGCCATTTGGTACATTTTCAAAGCCATTTCTTCACGCACTTCCTCCGGAAACAAGGTCTGGGCTCCTCTAATTGAATATTTTCTCCTCATTGAGAATATTTGACGCACCACTTTCTCTACCATCTTGAAAGGCAACTTTATCAACGGTTGCTTGAGAGGGGTAAGAGTTACTACACCCACATCAACATCCGGTTTTGGTAGGAATGCTGAACCATTTATGTCAAATTTGTAGTTTACATTACACCAGGTCTGGCACATAACTGACAAACGACATCTTTGGCTATCTAAAATGCGTGCAGCCATTCTCTGGGCAACCTCCTTTTGGAAGGTCAAAGTCATCCTAGCACGGCCAAAAGCCCAAGGTCCTTCTTGTTTGGAAATCATTTCTAGCCAACGAATGATTAGTATTGTTGACACACTAAAAGGCAGGTTACCAATAAGATTAATAGGTGGTGGGGGATCCAACCAATCTGTCTTCACATCTGCAGGCAAAAAACTAGCTATATCTGTTTTCAAGATGTCACCATTGATGATATCCACATCCACCTTGTCTCTGCATGCGTCTGCTAGGAGTTCTAGTGATGGCGTAAATCGACGATCCTTTTCAATGAGAATTACTTTGCGCGGAGCCTGCTGTATTATGGATCTTGTTATACCTCCGGGGCCTGGTCCAACTTCACACACTACATGGTTCTCTATATTTCCAGCGGCGCGCACTATTTTATCGATCAACCGGGGCTCCAACAGAAAGTTTTGAGACAGTTCCTTGAGTGCGCGCAACTTATACAACCTGATGACATCTTTGATACTCGGAAGAGGAGGCAATCTAATCTGCGCAGCTTTCCTTACCGCAGCCATTATTGTTGAACCTTCGCAGGTTCGTTAAAATCGTCGAGGAATGTCTCTTGCTTCACTGCGAAGATAGAATACAGGTAAATACTGAACACTCCAGCTCCGATTGCAAAACCAGTGAACCTATTGCGTCTGTTTATTTGTTGCAACTTCGCTACGCGTTCCAGGTTCTTCTGTTCTATTAGTTTCATATAATCGAGCTCGGCTTTTTTGAGCACGGGATCTTGATTGCCTGTGCTGATCTTCGGCTTGAAACTTGAGTCTCCCATTACGATTTAACAATAGAGACTGGATAACCTCAAAACTTGTGAATGAACTGACAAATGTCAAATGCAGAATGAATGAATGATGAAGAGCCAAAGACAACCAAAGACACAGATAAGGATTATAGAAAGATGAACGAATGAAACTGCAGTGTACGATGATCTGTGGTACGATGACATAGCATTTAACCCATTTCCGTCCCATTCTAATAAATATTTTTTCTTTTATTTTTCATTAAATTTTATCATATTAATGTAAAAAATATTGAATAACTGTCATTGAATAAATTGTTTTCTCATAATGCTAAGAGAATGGAAAATGTGGTGTACAGTGCAGTGGTGTTTTAAAACCATTTCACTTGCTGGTCACACCAGTCTCTACGAAATGTATTGATACTTGAAAAATCATTAATAAAAAATATGTAATAAAAAACATCTTTATCGCCTCTTCTGGCTTAATATAAAGAAAAACAATTACGCTACTTAATTTACGAACACTAATGAATTATGAAGATGAGAAGAGAATTGAAACCAATTTATAATATTCATCAAAATTTTACCAACAAAAGAGTTGATAGTGCTGCATTCTGCATCTCAATAAAATGCATAATGAAGAAACAGATTTAAATAAACTAAACAAAGTATGTTGTAATTTTAACAACCAGCTGTCATAACCAAATGAAAACACAACAAAAACAGCTGTTCATGACGTTTGCCCGTCGATCAACAAACAAAGAGCAGTGCGCGCATCGTTCTCTTTCTAAACAAGTCCTCCCGCTTTCGCACATTTATTTGCATCGGAGTCCGAGTGGCGTCGTCGCGTCAAAATCGTCAAACCCCGTTTCGCGTCGTAGGCGTTCGCTAGTGCGTGCACTGTGCGGTGCGTCCACCGCTTGTTGTGATCTTTGTTATTTGTGTTGTAAAAATGCCATTTATCTCAAAGGACTGGCGATCCCCAGGCGAAGAGTGGGTGAAAACTCAGGAGGGCTGGGAAAAAAAGAAGGTGTTAGAGTGCACCGCACAGAGGTGAGCAGCGATGAGCGTGTTGCAAAACAAACTGTTTCTTTGTTCACATTTGGTTCAACGCAACCAAATAGCTCATTAGCGTTTAATAACTAACCAATGCAACGTTTTAGATTCACGCTTCCATGTAACAGTTTGTGATTGTTGTAAAAGCTTGGTTTTGTATTTTGTATTGCAGATATCCCGCAATAACTAACTATAATAACACAGACGATAATCAGCAAAAGTCTTGGTGAGTTGTACAATCTGTATTCTGTTTTTATTTGATTGTGTTTGTTTTCTGGGGATCAGCTGTTTCTGTTGTGGACGCGGATATTGATTTTGTTGCGCGCGTGTGAGTGAGTCCTTCGCCTCATTTTGAGACTTCTATGTTTCTAGTTAGATTGTAAATCTACAGCTGTTATACCAGCTTGGATCAAGATTGCGTAGTTATTTGATTTGTATCCCACTTATCCATGCCATAATATAAAATTGTAAAAAGTACCTACCCAATAACTTAACCCTTTTGCTACCTAACGTCTCGTTTATGAATTATAATTGGAATCTAATTAGAAGGGACCTGCCACTTATTTTACTTACGATGTGCATTTTCTTCTGGCTGATATGCTGATGTTTAATTTATACATAACTAAATAGACATTATAAAATGTATAAAAAAAAGTACCCAATAACTTAACCCTTTGCTACCTTACGTCTTGTTTTGAATCTAACAGAAGGGACCTACCACTTATTTTACTTAAGATAAGGTATTCCTTTTCTTCTGGTTGAACTAATTATGCAGGTTAAAAATAGTAGCTGGTGTTTAGTAAATGTTTTTTTTATGGATTTTATTCTACATAATTATGTGAGTTTTATTCTAATGAAAAAATAACATAGAGCAATGATATATCTATATATTTAACCATTTCACTGCCATTTGTAATTTCGTCGTTTTAGTAGGAGCTATGCCAAATGCTACGAACTTTAGCGGAAGTTATAAAATGACAAAGTAAGCTTGCTGTAAAAAATATTTTACATTGGTGCTTCAACTTCATGCATATTAATGCCACCGATTATTTTTTCAGTGAAGTCAAAGGGGATATTCTTTAACGGCTTGTCTGACCTTTGATCTCTATATTTTGAGCTGTTTCCAATACCTATTCGCAAACGAGACCAAGCTACAAACAAGCGTTGTCCTTTCGCCCTCTGACTAAAATATTCCTAAAATATCTTAAAGGATGGTTCATGTACACCGTTCTATGTGCATATAAGTATTAAATAAATAAATAAATAAATGGTTTCGTTCGCGACTAATACGACATTATGGATTATTATAACCAACATTTTCTCAAGGCTATTTTTAATCTATACTTATAATAAGTCTGTAGAGAGGTCAATTCTGTACATGAAATATATTTTCAAAATAACTATCAGGGGGTGATTAGTGATCGATACTGATGCCAAAAATGCAATCAGTAAAATTTTTGTCTGTCTGTCTGTCTGTATGTTCCTTATAGAAACAAAAACTACTCTACGGATTTTAACGAAACTTGGTACAATTATTCTTCATACTCCTGGGCAGGCTATAGTATACTTAGGAATTCCCACGGGAACGGGAATTAGCGGGAAAATCATTTTGTATGAAAAATCTACACCGCTTAAGTTAGACGCTTGAAATTTGGCATGTAGGTACCTTAGTAAACTTAAAACTTAGTTACGACAGGATATTGCGAAATTCCCACTGGAACGGGAGTTAGCGGGAAAAAAAATTGTATGAAAAAATCTAAAGTACCGCGTAAATCGAAGAAGGGTCTAAAACGGAATCCACGCGTACGAACTACGAAGTCGCGGGCGGCCGCTAGTTTCAAATAAATTTGTTAAAACCATGCATCAGAACAGCCTCTGTTTTTAACCCTAAGAATCAATAAAGCAATTACTGACCTAAGTAATTACTAGGTATTTCGTTTATTTGAAGATACAACTGCTGCAACGAGAATGCCAGTAAGCACTGAAGGTCACCCGACTGTAGAAGTTCATTCCGATGAAAGTTCCATGGCCTCCGCTTGAATAGCCTTTGTATTCTTGCACTGATATCTGGCTGGTAACTTTTTTATTCAGCTCGTATTTTATACCTAGTTGTGCCGAGTAAATAAAGCCGATCTTCATTTAAGTTTACTGCTGTTTGTAGTTCTTTGTACTGAATAAAATAACTAAACTTCTGTACCTCTAGTAGGAAAAACTTTCGAGTTCGTTTCGTTGCGTATTCAAAGTGTCATCGAAAAATTTTGTATGAAAAATTAAACAGCGCCCCCTATATTATAGCCGCCCTAGGGGGCGCAGTTTAATTTTTCATACAAAATTTTTCGATGACACTTTGAATACGCAACGAAACGAACTCGAAAGTTTTTCCTACTAGAGGTACTGAGCTGTATACGTTTGAAAGTGATCCATCTGGCAAAATATAATATTTAAAAAAATATTATATGCTTTTATTAATACTTAAACAGATAATAACGTTGTTATTACACGTGTATTGAGACACAAACGCCTTTGAAGTTCCTATTATTGAATAATAAATGGTTGAGAATCGTTGCTGCATATTCTTGCCAAGATCGAAAATATTGCCAACTAGGTATTCAAACTTTACCAGAAGTCTAAACACTGACTGTAAACATCAAAACTATGAATCAAAGCACCCAAAGCATCTGCGAAAACCGAACTGCGAATGATAAAAGCAATTACAAAATTCTAATATCTTCACCTTTACACTGATGAAGACTGGTGATAAGCAAGTTTCGTAAACTGAACTAAAATGGACTGTAAAGGGACTGTAGTATATGGAGTAGATTAATCATACATACAACTGAATCTATCGACAAAATATTCTCTAACACGATATTGGCAAAACTGCAGCCCGGTCTACAGCAAATAGAAATTTGTTTTCCTCAAACTAGGTCAGGCTGAAACGTAGTCTTAGCCAGGTCAAATCACTCATCTGTACGAGTATTTCCTAGATTCTTCAAAGAACACTAATTTATTGCAGAGGATACTTTAAGCCACCTAGTGACCTATAAAATGTTACACTGTTATGTAAGTAGTTTTCTGAAACTTTGTTGGCTTCGCTTTTCTTACTGTATTTTATTACACAGAGGAGTTGGAAAGATAACATAAATTTCCCATTTTGGTAATGGATTGATAACTGTACCCTTTATGTACGGAAAATCTTCCGAAGATACTGTAATGGTTTATAATATTGAAAATCACTTGAATTTGTAAAAGGGAGTTAACTGTTTCGTCAACTTAATTATTGACTAACAATAACTGATTGTTCATATCAAAGCAACCAAAAATCTAACTGAACAGTGAAAACTAATGAGTCAGTATTCTTAGAACCATTTTTACTAGTAACAAACCCAGCTCGCAATACCCAAACTCAATACTGAGGATTTTCTTTCTACGGATCTCTAAACATTCAAAAGCCAATCTGACTCAAGATCCGTTGAAACACGTCGCTACAGGAAAAAGGATACGGCTATTTTTATATCTCCTGTAATACTCAGCAGCTTTGGTTATTTTTATAATCCTCTTGTCGACTTTAATATTTTTAATTAGTGCTTCCGTGTGATGTGTATGTTCAAAATAATCTTAAAGTGCAGCTAAAAAATGATTGCTTGGAATCATGGTTGTTGGTTGGAATCATCTGAAGCAATACCATTTTCGCCAATGTTTTATTTTTTATCATGATTCTTTTGCTTTTCCGAATGCCTAAATTGGTCATCAGGTTTTGTCATTTGTAAAGAAGCTTCCCTAGCTTTGTCTTCGTATTTGCCATAATTCCATTAGAAGTGGCTTTAACTGGCTTTCTTTCTTTAATTCAAATAAGTGCTGTCGATATGCTTTCCTCATTTCTTCAGCGATTTGTTCAACTCCATTAACATACTGGGCTACATTCTGTTAAACGGTTTGCTAGAAAGTGATAATGCTTCTCTATGTCATTGGGACTATTATGTGCACACTTAAAACTCAAATTATGTCATTATGCTGCTACTTTGAGATATCCTGGATTTGTTGCAGCACTCTGATGCAATCCAGTTTTATTTCGCATTAGCAATTAGCATAATGTCCAAGTCCTAAAATGGTAAATCAAGTAGTTCTCCGGATAGATTGCTCCAAGTCCTTACAAGTTTACAACCCAACAAAACAATTAAAAATCATTATTCAAATAAAATTATGTAAAAATTTAACACAAAGGCTTTCTAAATGTTTATCAGGCAATGAGCCAAATTAAGAATAAATCCTGATAATTGTTTGCCGTTTCTTGATTAAATGACTCAGTCGACTCTTTTAGCCGTCCGTTTTGCAGTTCATTTACCTTTTCCAAAATAGGCATTGGTGTAATGAGTTGCCCTGAACTTTATTCGATATCTCGGATTCTCGTCCTCTTGGTAAAAGATGTAGCACTTTATTTGCGCAATATCTCGGATTCTCAGTCCCTCGGTGAGGCTGCAGCTCAAATACAACATCAGGTTCCCGTTGGCCTTGAGCCTTGACCTATTTTTCGAGGCGGAGATTGGGCCTTGGCCGTTTGAACAGCCTTCGCACCCTCTATATTAGAATTTATATAGATAAGGTCCCTTTTCACTATAAAATTTATAGTTTGTTTTCTATACAGTACCAGAAAGATTATTAGTGAGTGATATATTTTGCTTCCTTACTAATAATATTTATGCATTGTACTCGTACATTCGTATGTTATAAGTTACTAGGATCATTAAGCGCCACTAAATAGCTGCTACATCGATGAATTATTTATATTAAAAACAAATAATGATAATACCTAAAACGAAACAAAATGAATGATTATACTTTTTTTTACATTTTAAGTTATTATTTACACAAAATTTTCCAATGTTTGTATTATTTTTTTCTGCGATTGTGTTGTACTAATTTGTATTGTTGTCTTCCGCCTTTATGTAATGTGATACATGATTCACGATGACACTGTTGTCAAACAAATGAGTATCAGATTGGGTGACGGTAATTATTGCCTGGAAAGGTGGCTGTTTGGCTCGTAGCCACAGTTTGCTGATCTATGTATACTTGTTGTAAAATCACTCTTGTTACTACTAAACAAGATGCCACAGTATAAAGCTTGATGTGCCTTTGTCTGTTGTACATGCGCTGTGCTTGTGCGTACAACTGGCAGCTCGAAGCAAGAGCCTATAGCTAAAGACATGTTTGTCAAAATCTTTT